CCCAGACCAGGAAGCAGCTCCATACTCGAATGGAGCTCCGCAGCCCCTCAGGAAAAAGCAAAGATGGCACACGGAGCCAGGCACTCGAGCGAAAGGAGGGGGAGGTGGCGAGAGGCAAGCAAGAAATCCAAAGAAGCAGAAAAAAAAAAGCAACACCAGCAGCCAACAAACGGCACCCAGAGAGCCAGCCAGTGCGGCGTGCCCCAGAATTCTTGATAATCTACCAGGCCGCCAGTTGTTGTCGAGTCAGTTCCAACTCATGGCCACTCCATGTGTGTCAGAGTAGAACTCTGCTCCAGGAGGTTTTGAATGGCTGATTTTTTGAGATAAATAACTGGGCCTTTCTTCCAAGACGCCTCTGTGTGGACTTGAACCCCCAGCCTTTCAGTTAGCAGCCAAGTGTCTTAACTGTTACACCACTCAGAAACTCTTGATAAATCCACACAGCCAGGCATTTAGCTTCTCCTCTTCCTGTTGGATCATGGCACAGTGCGGCTGGCATTTCTCAGCCATAGCGCAGATATTAGAGTTTCAAGACAGCAATAGTCTATGGTGACAAGTAACAAGTAATGTAAATATTTCTAACATATATGTCCTGAGTTTAGGAATCTCAGAGACCTGGGTTTAAATCCTAAATTTGACTCTAACTAGATTTATAATTTGGGCATAACAAGTAATTTAAATATTTCTGATGCATGTGTCTTGAGTTTAGGAATCACAGAGACGTGGGTTTGAACCCTAAATCTGACTCTAAGTAGATGTATGCTTTGGCGAGTTAGGTGACCTCTCGGAGCCTCAGTTTCCTCCTCTAGCAAATTCTGCCTCAAAGAGCTCACATTGACTTGGGAAAGACAGAGAAGAAAACAGTTTAAATGCAGGATTATGATGCTCCTAATAGAGGTGTGCACATAAATGTAACAATGAGACCCTTTGTCCAGACAAGGAAGAGAGGAAAACTAGAAGTGACTCCGTGCCAAAGATAGAGAATGGATAAACCATGGGGATAGTGTGAACGTAGACCCGGGGCTGGGGGGAGGGTGAACAATGAGAAATTAGGGCATGTACTCAAAATACATTTCCCAAACCGTGCTGAGAGCCACTCAGTAAAGTATCTTCAGAGTTTTGAAAACCCTCAAATTTAGAATAGGTGATCACAGCTCTTTTACACAATGTTACAGCTGAGAAGTCTCTTTAAAGTGGAACATGGAACATTGTTCTATGATTACGTCAATGTTCGGGCGGTGCCAAGTTTGGCCATGGTTTATTTTTCTCAAATTCCAAGTGAACGTGTCAGTCCTCCATTTCATACTTCCTCATTATTCAGTTTGAGTGAGTTTCCTCCAGAATTCCGTACACATGATTAAAAAGCCACCAGCGAATGACTCTTCGTGAGTCCTGTAATTTGTTTGGCAGAATAGCAGCCCCTAAATAAATGATGTTCAGCAAGGATAAGGCTCTGCACCCTTCCTGACACTGCTTTTCATTCATTCCTTTCCCCTGCCAAATAGGACAGGCTGATGTTCTCATTACACAGATCATAGATGGGGAGAGAGAAGGCTCCAGGACTCAAGAAATTAACGTCTGTGCTGATAATGGATGAAAGAAAAGAATCTGCAAGCACTTACACCAACTCAGTTTCTCTTAAATATTATTCATGAACAAAATGCTTTGTAATTATAGAGGAGTTTTAAACCACAGTACCAGGCTCATTAATTTTTTTTCTTGGCCCTTGGAACAACCATGTGGTCAACATATTCTGTGGTAGGGTCGATTTCAAATAGCCTGTGTCATTAAGGCTATGCACTGTCTAATGGTCTGGAAGGTCTCAGGATATAAGGTTCACACTACATTTCACAGATGATCTTTCTGACCCAGAAGCAACATGTAGAAAATATTTGTCAGGACTTGGGCATTAATGTTTAAAGGAGAAAATATTATCGTCATATGTCAATACTGACTAGGGCCTGCCTTGGTAAATAATTTTTATTTTAATTATTTTTGCTGAAGCTAGTACCATTAGGAATGTGTTAAAAAATCTTGCAAAATTTTGTTTAACAAAAAAAGTCTCTATTTTTTGATGAACACTAAAGAATGTAGGGGGAAATGGCATCATGTTTTTGTTCTCAGCTGGGATTTGCTTTAAAATTCTTTTGCAAAGAAAAGAACGAAAAGGCAAAGAGGGATGGACCAAGCAAATGTGGGAAAACCTTCCTAATTGGTGAACCTGGGATGAGTATACAGGGTTCATTTTATCAAGCCCTCCAGTTTGAGTATGTTTGAAATTTTTCGTTAAACCAACAGATAGCAGTGTTACCACAGTGCTAATATGGTACAGTATATAGTCTATAGTTTTTTTTTCAGGTGGATATTTGGGCTTACTACCCTAGAATTCACAAATTGCTTCTCATACATGTCTGTGTGTACTGCATTTCCCCGCTGTAAGATGACTGTGTGGACTTGAATCTTTTGCAGAGTGGCCTGACCCCACTTCATCTGGCTGCTCAAGAAGACAGAGTGAATGTGGCTGAAGTCCTTGTAAACCAAGGGGCACATGTGGATGCCCAGACAAAGGTATCCCCTCCCCTCCTCATATAGAAAAGAATGTACCTATGCAAAGTGTCATTTGGTGGCTGCTGTATGGAAGCAACTATAATTTTATGGGGTGGGGTGGGGGACCTTCCATCATATCTTTTATTCATAGCATTTCAAATGTTTATTCGTACAAAGGACACCAAAGTCTCTGGTTGCAATGTCCCAGGTGCTGTTGTCTTTAATAGGGGACCTTATCCTAACTGCATATCAATATTGTTCTATAATAACACTGTTCATTCCTTGTTATAGTAGATTGTTGTTTCAAGGGCAAAGGGTGAAAGCTTATACCTTTATTAGTTTTTGTGACTGACTAAAAGAGTGCATATAAAAATTTTGTCAATAATCTATGACGTCAACTTTGTTCAGAAATAATTTATAAAAAAGGATAAATTAAGGTTTATTTGATTATTACTTGCTTGCTAAATTCCTAATAGTGTTGTTGTATTCATTCTCTCTTTCTCCCTCTCTCTCTTTTCCCTTTCCCCTTTCCCCTTTTCATGGTCAAAATAGCTCTCTTTCCAAAAGGAAGTAAAAATTCAAAATTACTGATTAATCTGTAACACTAGGATTTCAAAGTCAGATAAGAAAAATGTATGTTTTGTGTCATCGTCATCATTTCATTTCTCTTGAATATTTTCTTTTGAGTGTTTAATTTTGTTCCCTCTTCATATTAAACTTGTTTTGTCTTATTTTAAAATAGATCTCTTCTTTGTCTGTGTCATGTTGACACAAAAAAGAATGCTTATTAATTGTTATATTGTGAATAAAAGCATTTTATATATGTATAATATAGATAAGTTCTGTGGTATATGAATAGATATAGAAGATACTAATAGTATAGAAGTATCACCAGGAATTAGCCAGGTGGAAAAAGGATTTAGCTTATTTTCTTTATTTTGCTTGAATACTTTCAGCAGTAAAGAATTCCCTACCTGGGAAATTTGCAACTTCATGATAAATATAAACAAACAAAAAATATTATCGTCAAGTCGTTTCCGACTCATAGTAACCCTATAGGACAGAGTAGAACTGCCCCATAGAGTTTCCAAGGAGCGACTAGTGGATTTGAACTGCCGACCTTTTGGTTAGCAACCAAGCTCTTAACCACTGCACCACCACGGCTTTATGACAAATATATTCACCATATTCTATTTTATTTACACATGCATACACATACGCACACACCCTGCCCACAAAGACTTAAACACTTCTTTAGGTTACCTCTCCCTTTATATACATAAAATTCTGGAAGGCAAGGACAGGATCAAATTCCTTCATATTTTTCTGCCCGAACATATCCAAGGTATCCACCAAACTTAGTCAGGATATATGGCAGTGACCCTCAATGAGTGGGGAAGAGCAGAAGGAAGGGTACTATGAACCTTCTGCTCCTGATTTGTACATGTGGCCCCTCGGTTTAAGAATCTCGGGTCTCTACCATGGTTTTTTCCTAACCCATCCCAACTCAGGACACGGATAGTAATCATTTTTGTATTTGGTGTAATATATTTGAAGCATGTACTGCCTCCTCTTCCGTACAAATTTTGCAGAATATCTCACTTTAGAAAACATCTCTGTCTCTTACAAATTCTTTTCCCTTCCTTTCTGTTGTTCTCAGCTGAGATCACAGCCACCTAAAGGAATGAGGGTATAATTGTTCCCTAATCAGAGTAGAGTAGAAGTCCACAGAAATGGGCCACTGAACTTGCTACTTAACTTTGTGAATAAAGAGGCTAAATATCCCATGAACTTTCTGATTCTTGCTAGTGAAGAAGTTATCCCAGGGAACCTCCAGGTGGGATATAGGATACCATTCACTGGCTTAAATTTAAAAAAAAAAAAACCTATCATGGTCTGTTTTCCCTTGTGAGGAAAGACTAGAAAATTCTGGTAACAGCTTTTGTAGTCTTCCCACTAGCTTGCTGTCCCTGTGTGCCCCCCATCCCTTTGCATTTAAAGTTTACCAAATCACGTCAAACTAAATTGTGCTGCTGGCCACAGGGTTAAATAGTCCATGTTGTTTGGCTAAGATGAAGCCACTGCTTTTACGAAGGACAATGTCCTGAAACATTTCATTTAGACCACCCCTAAATCACGCTAAGGCATTGAATGTCAGGGGTACTGAGCAGAGAATTAATAAACCCGTTGCTGTCGAGTGGATTCCGACTCATAGCGACCCTATAGGACAGAGTAGAACTGCCCCATAGGGTTTCCAAGGAGCAGCTGGTGGATTCGAACTGCCGACCTTTTGATTAGCAGCCTGCGCTCTTAACCACTGTGGCACCAGGGCTCCTAGAGAATTAATAGTTAAATTATATTTCTTTACATATATTGAAATGCATATTTATATTTAAATGGATATAAATATATTTAAAAAACATGAAATGTTTTGAGAGGTTATTTGATAGTCATTCATGTCAGATTCATTATAGAGCTCCTGTTATTTGCCAGATTTTTACCAGGGTGTTCGGACTACATAGACAATTAAGATATATGTCTTGCCTTCACAGAATTCATGGCCTAGAGAGAAAGGCGCGTGAGAGTAACAACAGCAGTGGGCTAGGGATGAAATGACAGCCGACTTAGCTTGCTCTTAGCTCCCCCAAAATATTCTTTCATAATCTTTGACTCTTCTGATAGTAGAAGTTTTTCCCCCAGTTTGTTCCTACATTCATTTGGAGGTGAATAACAAAGCAAAAAATCATAGAAAGAAATTTTTCAACTGTTCCTTTTTTGGGAGTGCTTAGAATTTCAACGGTTCTTCCTTCAGGAAATGAAATACTGAGAGTTCATTTTCTTCTAAAGGAACATTTTCTGTTTTTATGAAATACATTTTTCTGATCTCAATTAGTTATACCGAACAAACTTAAGAGAAAACTATTCATAAAAAATATCTTACAGTCTTCCATGAATTTTTAACTGCATTTTATGAAGTTATATCTAGTGTAACACGTGACAAAAGAAAGATTTTACTTAAAAAGATAGCATCACCACATACAATTGTAATATATATATACACACACATAAATACACACACATGTATGTATACATATGTATGTATATATGGAGCCCTGGTGGCACAGTGGTTAAGAGCTACGTCTGCTAACCAAAAGATCAGCAGTTCAAATCCACCAGCCGCTCCTTGGAAACCCTATGGGGCAGTTCTACTCTGTCCTATAGGGTTACTATGGGTCGGAACCGACTCGACAGCACCTAACAACAACAACAACATATATACATATATTTTTAACTACAATAAACAAAATCAGGTAGAAGTTGAAATTGTGGATAGGTGTGATCAATGAAAAGAGTTTGGTGGCACAGTGGTAAAAGCACTTGGCTGCTAACCAAAAGGTCAGTGATTCGAATCCACCAGCTGCTCTGCAGGAGAAAGATGTGGCAGACTGCTTCTGTAAAGATTACAGCCTTAAAAACCCTATTGGGGCAGTTCTGCTGTGTCCTGTAGGGTCCTGTAGAATCAACTCAACGGCAATGGGTTTGTTCTGGTTTTTTTTTGTGGGGGGGTGATCAGTGAGGAAGACTTTGCAGAGTGTAAGAAAGGTCAAGGACTGACCCCTAGAGAGCCACAGACTTTAGGAGATTGGGGAGAATGTGGAGCTTTCCTGCTCCCTGTCTCATGAACTATATTGCATGGGAAGGTACCTAATTGCTGCTTAATACATTACCATGATAAGGATTGTTGTTTAATTAAGCATTTGTTAGCCTATTTAATCCTTAAACAACACCATGAAGTTGGGACTGTTTATTAAGTTTCAGGTCACAATTTATAAACCAAAACCCAAACAGTTAAATCACTTGCCTCAACAGTCCAGGCTGGAAACCATTATTAAGCTTATCCCTCTCCTTTTCTCTTCATTGGGAAGAACAGCCTGATCAGTGTATCAATGTTAACATCTATCACTTTGTAATCAACAGATGGATAAGTGAAAGAAAGTTACTAAAGTCTCTAGGGCGTATTTTGCAGTCTTGAGCCTTACTCAGTGTTATAGTAAGGAAGAGAAGACTAACTTCAGCTCAAGATGATGTTATAAGTGGGGCAGCAATGGAAAAAGAGGAAAGACTGTCCAATTATTTGGGCTATTTTTTTTCTTTTAGTTATTCAAGATAAAATAGTTGGTCTTTCCAAAATTTATTGCTGCTAGTTGGAAGGAATTTCTCACATCACATCATGCTGCACATATTTTTGCAAGATGCCACTTATTAGGAATGTTGTGACCTTCAGAGGGTGGGAGAGACCCAGTCTGGTCTCTCTGAATGCAAGTTGCATCTTCTTGGCCCTGCACAAATGATTTTAATAAAATACTTTAGTGTTTGAGGAAGAGCAAAAAGACCAGCTCTTAAAGAGCCCAGCGAACAGGGAGAGGAGTAGTAGGAGACGAGCTTAGAGATTTATGGGTGGGAGGGTGGGAGGGTAGCTGTGGGGGAGGCCAGATCATGTAGGTTCCAACAGTCTATTACAGTAACGCAGGGATTTATTGGAAGTGAAGTGGGAAACTGTAAGAATGAATAGAAATTGTGCATTAAAATACTGAAAGTGTTCAATTTCTAAAGAAATCTAATATATTTAGCAAATATATTAGAAATATATGTACTTAGCAAATCTAATATATTTGGAAACTATTGTGTTATCACTTAGACATGTGTACTATAAATTTGAAGAGTAAATCTTTAGATTTTAAAAATATTTTCTACATTTTTTTTTTAACTTCTGCACAATGCTGTTTACACTGAATTTGGGAATAACGTTACTTCAGTTAAGCTGCTTGTACTGAGAACAGATTGGAGAAAATTCTTTTCATTACTCCCTTACTAAGCAGCATTCTGATCACTAATGCAGTATCCTAAGTTCCGCAGTACCAAGAAAGAAGAACACTGCAAAACAGCCAAGTGGCGCACGCACACACACACACACACACACACACACACACACACACACACACATACACATATACACACACATACACATATACACACACACGTATATGTATATATCTCCTCCCTTGTGGATGAAGTGGCTTTAGGGGCTGTAAGTCAGTCTCACATTGCCAGTTTTATCAGTGGCCATCAAGTTGATTCCAACTCACGCCAACCCAATGTGTGTGAGATTAGAGCTGTACTCCATAGGGTTTCCAATGGCTGATTTTTCTGAAGTAGATTGCCAAGTCTTTTTTCCAGGGTGCCTCTGGGTGGACTCCAACCTTCAACCTTTTGGTTTGCAGCTGAGCATGTTAATGGTTTGCACCACCCAGGGACTCCCAGTCCCATGTATGTGTGGTTATTGTGAGCTTACCAATGGCAGTCTGCTCACTGGTAATATACTGGCAGTTCGGTTTGTGGAACAAAATTTGACCAGAGCCAGCTCTCTAGGGAAGTGCATCCCCAGTGAAGTGTCTTCACCCTTTACAACCAGAAGGGTTAGCTAGAGCGTATCTATCTAGATCAAGTTCAAACTTCTCTGACAACCCTAACTCACACCAGTCTTGTTCTCTTTGGTATTTTTATGCCTCTTCTGTCGCTATCTTGCATTCGAATTATCATGTACTGCCTCACATTAGCATTTAGCCACTTTGTGTTTTTTGCCTAGATTTTAGGCGTTTAGAGAGTAGAATGTTCAATAAACTCTAGTCCACATCTGTCCATAGAACACTCCTCTGACCCTCTACAAGAAGCCACTTAATTTATCTGGGCTGTCAGTTGTACCATCTTTCCTTCTTATCTTGAAAACTTGTTATGAGAATAAAATCAACTGATATATGAGAGAACACTTTAGGCATTTAAACAACTATTTACCTGTGAAATGGTGTTGTTATTTACATCCAAGACTAGCTCTCAGAATTATCAAAGGTGATTTTTTTTTTTTTTAAATGTAAGGGGCAAAAAACTGCTTTTGCTAACTCAAACAGAAAGGTTAAATAACAATTTTGATTCTATTCAGGGTAGCTGTTACTAAAAGTATGCACTTAGGATGTTTCTTTTTAAAAAATATATACATATATAATTACAGATGGGATACACACCACTACATGTGGGCTGCCACTATGGGAACGTCAAGATCGTCAATTTCCTGCTCCAGCATTCTGCAAAAGTTAATGCCAAAACAAAGGTAAACGCCTTCCCCCTTCGTTTTCAACAAAATCAGTGATTTTGTACCAAAGGCTGTCAGAGTCATTTCTGCCATCTTCCTTCTACAGAATGGGTACACGCCATTGCATCAAGCCGCTCAACAGGGACACACGCATATAATAAATGTGCTGCTTCAGAATAATGCCTCCCCCAATGAACTCACTGTGGTAAGAGCTAAGGGCAAGGGACGAGGGAGGAGATGGTCCTGGGCTTTGTTCACATTTTTCATGGTGCACCTCTGTTGCTTTTATACTTGCACTAATAGTCATGGGCAAAGCCTGTAGTAGAATGAGGAATAAAGGACAATAACCATATTGTTGTCAGCTGTCCAGAGAGAGATGTGAGTAGTGTTTCACACTGTAAAAACTACTGATAGCATTGCCAGCTAGTAGGAACTACATATGCAAGAAGAAACGTGTGTGTGTTTCATTCATTGCTTACTTAGAACATTTTAAAAGTCTTTTGGATTCTACGTATGAACAGAAACAGGTTAGGCGGGTTTTGCGCAAGGCATGTCTCTAGCGATACAGTTTCTGTGTATGACAATGAGATGAGTCTGATGAGGCTTAGGTTTTGTACAGGCGAAACACAGGGAAGTATATAGGCATTAAAACATGTGGAAGACTTGTTAATTCCCTGCCCACGTTTTCTCCTTGCCAGAATGGAAACACTGCCCTGGCCATTGCCCGACGCCTTGGCTACATCTCAGTGGTTGACACCCTGAAGGTAGTGACTGAAGAGACCATGATGACAACCGTAAGTAATGAGTGCAGAACCTGTTGACCTGAGAGTCAGTTCTCAGAGTTTAGTTTTTCCTGGGTTTCTCTGAGATGAACCCTTCTTTCTCCCCCTTCAGAGATGAAACTCCATGTTTTGAAATGCTGTCACCTCATGGTTAGAAGTCAGGATAGAAAAACCGTCATTTCTGATATTAATAAAAATTAAAAACACTAAAAATACCTTTTTGAAACTTGCGTTAGTAGCTATAGAGTTTTTAGCTTCATATAAAGCTAAATGTGTTTGTTTTGATGTCAAAAAAATTTTAATGGAATAATGGAGAAGGTAGAAAGTTTTTTTTTATCCTTCCTTGGTAATGTAAAACGTTAACAACTCTTCAATTGGTTTGGTAAAATGTTTTAACTCACAGATGTTACGTAGACATCTTATCATTATTGTAAAAAAAAAATTACATTGTTAAAAAAATAAAACATTACAGATAGGATCAAAGTTGGTTTTGACCACCACTTTCACTTCTCTGGTGGACACCTGTTGGAGGCTTTCACAGAACAAACAATACAGTGTTTTGTTAAAATTTAAGTAAATCTTTCCCAGGAGGCCCCATTGCATCAGATACAGTTTTACAAGCTGCAGCTTCTGGGATAAGTCATTTCTTTTATCCCCATCTGACGCCTTGAAACTGCATCACAGTCTGATTAACTTTGGAATCAAGAGCAGATATTGCACCATATCAGAGACTTATTTCAGTTATCTCTGACTCCATGGCTCAATATGCAGGGCCCAGACTGACTATGTACAATGTAAATTTAGGACTCTGGAACATTTGGAAATTATCAACTCCACCTCTTTTTCTCTTCTACCACTATCCAGCATGAACAAGGTCGTAGGTATTATCCCCTCAATCACTTTGTATACACAGAGCTTCACATCTGAAACATGGTTGAGAGACTCTGTAGCTACCTGCAGTTTGAGTTATTTGACTAAGTTCAGGCTTCAGAAACTAAAAAGTAAGCCTGCTAATAGCAAGAGAGAGATTTTGTAATTTGCAAAGAAAATACTGGCTTTAATGGGCTAGAGTAATGGTTCTCAACTGGGGCTAATTTTGCCCTCCAGGGGACATGTGCCAATATCTGGAGACATTTTTGATCACAACAGCTAGTGAGGTACTATGGGCATCTGAGTGGGTAGAGGCCAAGGATGCTGCTAAACGTCCTAGAATACACTAAACAGCTCCCCTGCCCTCCACGTTAAAGAATTATCATGCCCAAAAGATGAGCAATTGAAAAGCCCTAGAGAAAGACTACACAGATGAAGATGTGAAGAAAACAGAATTTACCAAAAGACTCTGCAGAAGATCCTCTCAGACGTTTACTCTGAGATCCAAGAAAAGCAAGTGCCACTAATCTTGTTAAAAGTCACTTTGTACAAAAAGGTTGAAAAGTGAAAAGAAAAAAAGCTACTCACACTCTAATTTATGAGTGTACATGTCATAACATCAGTACTCATTCATTATTCTTGCAAGCAGCATCCTTAAGCATCCACAGCAAAGATTAAAACTTCTCAGATTGAGCGTTTCTTTGCACTTTCTAGGTGGCAATAAAACTTTGCCAAGTTTTATTTCAGGGAAGACCCTCTAACCCAACAATGGAACCATAGGTCAGAAAAAGCAAGGATGCATTTGTTACTTGTTTCCATAATTCGGAGCCTTCTTGTCTGTGAAGGGTAGATTGATTATGCATGTAAAGGTCCCTAGTTTCAAGAGCAGACTTATAACTTTATGATACAGTTTGTCTAAAAGATAAATTTCTTACACATTGATTTCAGATGCTTCTATTTCATTATCTTAAAATCTATTACTAAATTCTCAAGAAAACAAATAATCTTTCTTAACCTTAATTTTATAGACCTTGCATATAGCTCTCTCTATGGTGTGGAAGGGGAGGGAGGAGGACAACGTGTTAAATAATAGCCAAGTGGTGCAGTGCTGTAAAAGATGCAGAAACACTGCAATACATTTATAAAACTTCCATTTCAATGAAGAGAGAGACTGGAAACATTAAAAACTTTTTACAGTAGTTCAGAGTACAAACTTATTTGACTGAATGCAAATGACTTTCTCACCTATGAGGAAATTTCAAAATGTTTCTTTGATACTCAGAAAATCTTAAGAGAAAGTAACATTACAGACAGAGGAAGTTACAGCATTAGGAAATCTACTGAAACAGAGAAGGGCGTCAAGGCTCTGGTTCCTACTGAAGGGCATAATGTGTATGGGAGTCGTGCCATTTCACTCCCAATGTCATCAGCTGGCTGGGTTGGTGGCTTTCCAGCATAGGCTGCATGAGAAAGGAGACACAGTTCATGCTGCCAATGGGAAAAGTCCAGTTTACCTAACGAAGCAGATGAGGCACCCAGGAAATGAAGTGTTCATGTTGATTGAAAAAAGAGTCTTTCAAAGTCCCTAAGGCTTAGTCCAGCATTGTGGTATTTGAGACTTTATTTCAAGCTCAGACACCACCTTGTCAGTCCTGTTTGGGCCGTTACAGTAACCTAGCTTAGAGGAGGACTGATGTAATTCAGGGTGTAGTCTATGACCTGAAGCTAGGTTAACATAGCACAGTCTCCACCAGAGGCAGAATTTTTGCAGTTACTGGGGCCCCAGCATCCATTTTCATCATAAGACGACCAGTTTTTCAAAAACTTTAAAAGAAGAATGCATCTTCCATATGGGTACAATGTATGATGTGGCAATTCTGAGAAAGAAGCTTTGGTAAATGAGATTAGAGTTTTGGTAGCATAGGAAACTGAATGAGTAGAAGCTGATATCCAAAACACATGAATTAAGCTATTTAAATTGTGTTGTTTAAAATCTTCAACTCCCCAGTAGCAATGAGCACATTTAGCACCAGATATTGGTTTCTATTACCGTTCTCTAATAAAAGGAACCAGGGCTCCTTGGAGAAATGTCTAAATCTAGGACTGGGGCAAGAAGTAAACAAGATGAGCCTGGAGCATCTCATTCTGTCAAAAAGTAATGAAGCACTTCCCCCCTGCCAAAAATAAATAAACACACATGCCCACAAAATAATGGGAATATGTCGAAAGGATACAGGAGCCAATTGAAGGCACTCACAATGGCCAAAGCTAGAAAATTTTGAGCAAAAATATTAATCTAATTGCATAGGCGTATAGCACAGAATGTAAAATACGTATCCACGAATCCATACTGATATAATCAATGATCGAATAAATATATGGAGAAGAGAAAAATCTCTTAAGCAGAAGAATTCCGGATAATTTATGATAATACGTCCCCCTGAAGGAGGTGGAGCATAAGTCCCCACTCCTTAAGTATGGGCTGTGCATAGTGACCTCCTTCCAAAGTAAACAGTATAGAAAGGGAGGAAATAGAGTAACTTTACAATGGAGAAACCTCACAAGCAGTCCCCTCAGCCCAGGTGGGTGATCAAGATCAACATCAACAGTGATAAGTCATGGGGATAGTAACGTACCCTTGATATGAAGCGGTGAAAATAGCACTTTACCTCTGTGGTCTTCCTCCCAAAAACATATAACCCCCATTTAACCAGGAGAAAAACATCAGACAAATCCCAGTTGAGGAACATGTTACATCACAAAATACCTGACCAATACTCCTCAAGACTGTTAAAGTTATCCAAAAAAAGGGAAGTTTCAGAAACTGTCACAGCCAAGAGGAACCTTAGGAGACATGATGACTAAGTGTAATGCAGTATCCTGGATGGGATCCTGGGACAGAAAAAGGATATTCTGTAAAAACTAAAGAAATCTGAATAAATTATGGGCTTTAATTAATTATGTATGAATATTGGTTTGCTGATTGTGACATTAGACCATATAAATGTAAGATGTGAATAATAGGGAAATGAGCTGTGGGAAATATGAAAACTCTGTATACTATCTTGGCAATTTTTCTGTAAATCTAAAACTGTTTCAAAATAGTTTATTTTAAAAAATATCCAGTGGCAGTATTACATGCTAGAAGAATCACCAAATAATCCTTTACTTCAACATTGTAATTGGTGAGGGAGGTGGTAGATCACATTTATCAAGTATTGTTGCTAAGAAACAATAAATTTGTACCTTTTCTTGGTTTTAATAACCTAGCTTTTTTTTGGGCTCTCTTGTTTAAATGTGATCTTCCCTTGTACCATTAGTCTTTCATATGCTCAAAATCAAAATAAGACTCATTTTTAAACAGAAACATTAAGTCATTAAGATTTACTAACAAGTAATTCTGACAGTGTCTTTTGGATGGACATAATCTAGACAGGTATAAAGTTATCAAAAAACAAGTCTTTAAGGCATTTGCTGTGTAATATACGGCTCTTTAAAACATTTTTGGAGGTTAAAATTATCTTGTAAATACATTACCTCTAAAATATATTGTTCATACACATATTTGTAAAAATTATGTAATATTTGGTAGTAGTTGATTTATTCTAGGAATTAAAATGTACAGAGGAAGAAGATGAAATAAGTGGCGGGCTTGGCATAAGTAATGAAAACGTGTTGCTTGCCATTCACTTGGCTTATTTTCAGCCAAGACCTTTAGTGGAATGGGGTAGCAGGTTCAATATGAAAAAATAGTACAGCGATGGAGTAGGAGGGATGATTCCTCTCTTTTCTTTTCGTTTGAAAAACCTTATTAGGGACCTAAATCTTTTAAGCTGATGTACTTTGTCACTAGAATTCCTTTGTCTTGTATCCTTTCTCTACCGTGTACATGTTGATGACCTTAATGCCACTAAGGGATATTTTGATCTAATTTTATATGTGAGGCTTCAAGATACTGAACATGTTAAGTCCCCCGTAAAAGCAATTGATTTATTTAGAAAGAGATGAATAGTCTCATTAATAAGTGAGGTTTGCTCACACTAAATCGACTGCTTTTTTGTTACTAGACCATCACAGAGAAACACAAAATGAATGTTCCAGAAACAATGAATGAAGTTCTTGATATGTCCGATGATGAAGGTATGAAAACATCCCTGGAGTTCGTAATAATTATGAGTGACCGTGCAGTTGTTGTTGCCTAAAGAAAGCTCATTGCAAAAATGGTTTTAGAAGCACTGAAATATCTGTTGCAGTATCAGGAGTTGCACTTTTTATACACTTATGTTGTTCGCTTAAATCATGCAGTTCGTAAAGCCAATGCCCCTGAAATGCTCAGTGATGGCGAATATATCTCAGATGTTGAAGAAGGTATTTGTCCATTTTTATTGTGACGAAACTTAACCATGAACTTCACCTTTCATTTCTGGCCTTTGAAATATAACACTTCCTTGAGTTACTAACTTTTCATATTATTTTGAGATAATTTATGCTTAACTCAAAAAATGCATATTCGGTATTACTGGTTGTCTTATTTTAGTCTCCTGAAATCATCTCTCCTTGAATCCATGTTCCAGTGTGAAAATACAAAAGTGTCACTGATTATCTGGATTCTTTTCTATTTGTTTCTGTCAAGCAGAAAGTTGTTTTTATTATTTAAATCTGAAAACCTAGAAAGGGAAAACTAATTTGTTTTTGTTTTTGTTTTTAAACAACAGAAATGTATTCTCTCTCAGTCCTGGATAATTAATACTATAGTTTTTTTTTTTTTTTTTTTTTTTTCAAATAAGAGAAGGTATCTTTACGGGTAAGGGATTAAATAGCTATTCTAGGATTCACTCTAAGCCTTTGTAGTAAAAGCAGCTTTTGATCTTAAACTAATAATGAAAACTCAACCTGAACAAAGCTGCTTTCAAAATTTAAATTTTCAGTAATGACTTAATGGAAGGAGACCAAAATATAAATGACTGTAGTTATACTTCATGTGTTTGATAGAAACTATTTGCTTTTCTGCCGTACTTAAACATTAATACATTTGCCAAGGTCATGATGTATAGCTATATTAATGAATTACATATTTAAAAAGTCCATTGGAAAACGGTGAATGAATATTATAAGGATGGTAAAATTTGGAGTTTTACCAGAAATACTGAAATATTTAATACAGTAGGTATGTTTCCTTTTTGCATTATTTGACTCTCCCAAACTGTATTCAATCTTACTGCTGCCTCCACTTGCCATCTCTCATCTGATATTTTTTCTGGGAACAGTCTTAATGTTGCTGGTCTTTCTCTGCCTTTAGATAATCTTCCCTATTTTAATTACTGGTTCTTTCTTTGATTTGCCTACATTTGGCTGGAAACCTAAATAGTTAAAAAGCCTACCTGATCCAAGTTCAACCTTGTCAGTATCCAGTGGCTGCCCACTCTTAAGTGCATGGTGGCCAGGAACTGCATATCCGCAAGAGCTAATACTCTGGTCATTTATGGGACCTAAGAGGACCTTTCTTATTGTTTATAGATGTTGTTTTGATAACTGTTAAAGGCTTTTACTCATTTTTCTTTCTTTTTCTGTAAAACATCAGTAATATACTTACCTCTGTTCTGTTCCCAAATGGATATTTCTATTTAGAATTTTTATAGTAGTATGCTTTATTGTCATATTTCAGTGCCTTCTCATGCAGTGTTCTCAGAGTCATTTCTTGTGTGCAGAAGATAAATTAAAAATGATGCTCTCATGTAGATGTTCACACACAGAAAACATGATATCAAAAAGTATGTTTCCCAAATGAAATTTTTTGAAGTATAATATGACGATCATAGACCTAAAATTCTGCTGGTCCTTTAACAAAATATCCCTAAAGAGCCACGTTGATGAGAGGTCACGTTTGAATGGACATATGACAGCCTTATATATGTGAATAGCTAGTGAAATAATTTCAAAAAAGGAAAAATTTTGAATCTCTTAATTTGAATGTAATTAATCCAGCTGTTTGATTGCAAATGATGATCATTTCTTTCAGATTTATCTCAGCTTGATAATTTGAAATAAAAAAAACAGATTTTAATTCTTGGCTTATCAATTTTTCTTTAAACCTTTTTGCTCTTGCTTTCTGGGTATAGCATGGGCTACTGGAGTCAAATGGCTTTTGATTTCATAATGTAGAATAATTTAATGTTGAAAGGGGTTGCTTAAACATCACTCAATCTGAACAACCAGCCAGTGCTAAAACACCTCTATAGACTCCTCTGTCCAGGAGTTGCTTTTCCCAAATGCTTCCATTGATGGAAATTACCTAGTTCCCAAGCTGCCTGTTCCATTTTGGAAAACTCTTGACTTAGAAAATTCTCCATTTTATTATGCCTTCTGTAGCTTTAACTCATTGATTTAGGCTCTGATACATTCAGCACCATTTAGAACAAAATCTGTTTCTTCTATGTAAAATCCTTTAGATATTTGAGAACACACTCAGTTCCCCTGAGCATCCTAGCCACTCTCTTATGCACATTTTAATTTGACTATATCCATCCATTGAAGTGGCCAGAATTGATCACAATATTCTAGATGTAGGTCAATCAAATTAGAGAATAGCAGGGTTATTGTTTTGTCCATGGAAGGTGGACAAAATCTATCACTGAAAACTTACGTATTTTTGAGGCTATTATGTATATTTAATTTGACTCATATTAATATTACTGTCAGCTAATACCCCTAAAGTTTGCTTATATGAGCTCTAGTAAGCCACATTTGCCTTATCATGTATTTGTGTCTCTTTGCCATATAAACTAGCATTTCTATATTACTTCAAATCCCCAAACAAATCATTTTGGAATTTTAATTATGAAAGAAACCCTACAACTTTAGTGATAATTTTTAACTTCTGACTCATTTGCCTGATATCTTGCCACAGTGTTGATTGTCACTTTAATTGGACTTGGTGCTAGACCTTGTCAGCATAAGAGATACAGGGGAATGATCGTTGTGGAAACCACTGAGTACTGCCCGTTTCGGTGAGCCTTGTGGGGCTGCGGCACATGTTTATTTCTGCAAAGCCAAAAGCGTGCTGTGAAATATTTATGTATAAGAGCTAGTAGGAGGTCATCACACTGGTATCCTAGGATATCAGCAGCTTTTAAAAGCAAGTAAAACAATAAGCAGTATATGCCTCCAGCCTTTCTCAAGAAGGGAAAGAAGAATGGGTTTGCAATACGGGGAACTATAATCTTAATCCTAAATTTTAAAAATAGAGTAAATATTAAGAGAATGTGTCAAGAGCAGTCTATCTTTTCCTTCTTGTTTCACTTTTTCTTTCTTTTTTTTTTGCTTTTTCTCTCTGCTCTCTTTCATCCATTATGAGAAATTAGTGTAGGCGAAGGAATGTTTCGATTGATTTTTCAGAAAAAATTAAGAAAAACAAGTCAAACAGTGTGATAAATTAATTAGGGAACAAGGGAGCCAAGATAAAGAGTAAGTAGAACAAAGAAAGCAAAGAGATAGGAGGAGATAAAGCAACCTTGTCTAAGGCAGGTTTTAAACCCACATATTATGCAGGTGGGGGCTAAACTGAGCTGCTCAGAGGACCAGAACTAACTTTAAAATATCATAATGTTCTACTATATTCTGTCCCAGGAAATGGACAGATTTGATTCTAATGCCAGTTGGATTTCTATGTTTTGAAATTCAGCTTTTAGACGCAAAGGAAGAGGAGAGGGAGGGAGGGAGGAAGGAAGGAAAGAAAACTGAGATTAAGGTTCAAATTCTGTTCTGGTTTGGGATTTCACAGTTGGCTTTAGTTCAACTCTAATCTGAAATTGTAAATTCATATGAAATGTATTTTATAAATTGAAGAAAAGGTATAAAATGTTATTTAACTTGTAGAATTCTACACGGTTGGATTATAGTAACCAATTTAAGGAACTCTAGATGGAACATAATGAGGATGAAATCAAGCCGTGAAAAGAAAAGAACCAAAAAGTCAGCTGTGGGCAAGATGGCTCTCTTGAACAGGTGGATGAAACTAAGCCTTGTTGGGAAGAATTGTCTCATTCTGAGCTTCTTGCCTATTTGATAGGGCTGCAAAATCTCATTCAGGATCAAATCCAGACACTAAATACTAGAAGAAAAAGTAAGAGGCTAAAATATGTACAGTAGAAATAATTATCAAGTGAGTGTGAGTTTGAGATACGCTACAGCAATAAATTAGAGTGACATGAGGGATAAGGAAAGTCACACTCAGCTCACCTTTCTGCCAAATTCAGTGCCTGGTGGAAGCCACAGCAAATTAAAATCCACAGATTTCAAAGAACTGAAAGGGTGGTTCAGAATCACGTAGCTTATCCCCTCCACATACAGATGAGGAAGCGGAGCCCGAATAAACGATGAGTGACATGCGCAGCTGGGTTAGTGGCAGAGTTGGACTAGAAGACAGATCTCATACTCTGTGGTTTTAGATCATCTCTTACATTGCTACTCTAACTTGATCTGTTTTCTTACGTGCAGAACCCAAGAATGTATTTTTTTTGAGCTTCCAAAATGTGGTTTAGGAAAAGGACAAATCATGCTCTTAGAAATTATCACAAGGTAATAAGAACTATTTTTCAAAGACCTTGATGAGACTACTATGAATTAAATTTTCTTCTGACCATCTTGGCAAAAGAAATCTGCAAACCAAGATGGAAATTCAAGTAAAATAAATATAAATATAACTTAGAATAGACTTTAAGAACTCAAAAGTGGTTTTAGCAGGCTTATCATAGTATTCTTAGGAGAGAATAAACAGTAAAATCTAAGTGAAGAATTTGACTGGGCACAATCTGAAACTCAAAAAAGTTAAGAGGAATTAACTTAGAGAAACTTGAAACTGGATATCAAGAAAACTACCAGGAAAATACTCTGTCAGAGCCTCTTCCTTCCAAGTGCCTAGGACTATCCTGCTATCCGAATCACCCAGGAAACATATCTAATAAATTGATTGGAATACGGTATCATTAGCTCAGTAGATCTGGAAGGAGGCCTTGGAGACTAGCTTGTCCTTGGGTTGTTCACCAGGGTGGTGGTAGTTGTCACTGCAGTTCTTAGTAGCAGCAGAAATTGTTTTTCACTTGAAATTTCATCCATTTTATAGATACTTCTTGAATCCTACC